CTGGGTGCCAAAGCAGGGATTGCAGCCAGGAATTTGATTCCCTTGGGGTCTAAGGAGCTTTGTGAGTGCCAGGAAATGTCAAGGTCAAGCCTCACATGGGTTCAGAGACTGGACATATGAAGGCATCTCAGTACCACAGGATGGAAGCCTTGAGTCCTCAGTGGGGTTCCACAATCTGGGACCCCTTCACAGAAGCTTTTACTTTTCTCTTTGTCCTTGATATATTGTCGTGTTGCTACAATGTGTCTAGGTGTGAAACTAATTTTATTTGGTCTGTTTAGCACTGAGTATGCACTTTGAATGTGAGCTTCTGTGTCTTCTCTTTAATTTTAAAATTCTCATTCCTTATTTCTTTAATCTTGCTTCTTCTGTCTTCCCTTCATTCTCCTGGAACTCCTATATGGCAGTCTGTCAACCTGTACCCCACATCGCTTAACTGCTTTGGGCATGGAATGTCAGGTGCCCCTCCTTCCCAGTATCTATTTTCCCCTTAAAAATAGAAGCTCTGACTTTCAATTAGGCACATGGCCACTTGGAATAAAGACTACACTTCTCAGTCTTCCTTTTAACTACATATGGTTAGATAACTGAGTTCTGGATGGTGGGTATAAACATGAGTCTTGTGGAACTACTTTGAAATGTAGAGCAAGGGAGTGTGTTATTCATTTGACCTGTCTTTCTTTCTGCTATCTAGAAAATGCATGAGATGGCTGGAGCTGGTGCAGCCATCTGGGATGACAGAGTGGAAGCCAGATAGAAGGAACCTGGGTCTGAATAATTTTATGAAACTGCCCTCTTAGCTCTAAACCTTCTAAGGATAAATTACTACTCAGAGAGAAATGGACTTGTATCTTATTTAAGTCGTGGTTATTATCATATCTGTCTTAGTTTGGGTTTTCCAAAAGCAGACCCTGAGACAAGAATTTGGATGCAAGTACTTTATTTGGGACATGGTCCCAGAAGCACAGTGAAAGAATAAGAAAAGGAGGTGGAGGAAGGGAGAAAAGCCAATAAGGGATTTGATGGTGAGCAGGTTAATGTTGAGGGCAACTAAGTCTCTATCCCACTGTGGGACCCATGGGAGACTATGTGAAACAGATTGCAATTGTGCCATCAAAAGGCAAGGAAATTGGAGCATTTCCCCATGAGCCAATCTCCCCACTGGTTGAGGGTCTTTCTTGGGGTTAACTTCCACAGTATTCTCCCTGTCCCTTGTGCAAAATGAGCTCCTGGGGCCAGAACATGCTCTCAGATGGAGATGCAGTAAGCTGTCACCCTCTATAGCACTGTTATCAGGTGACTGCTGGGGTCAGCCACAGGAACACTGGCTGCCATTGACAGTGTCTGCACCCTGTCTATTTCATTCAAACCCATCTAACTTCTATACTCCTATTTCCATAATTTATCTCTTTTTATATTTTGTTGCAAAATGGGAGAAATTCCAAGTTCTCTCGTCCAAATAAAAAAGTCAACTGGTATTGTCAGGTTGGAACAGACCAGAACCAGTTTTATCCAGTCACATCTGGTTTTTCCAGTCAGAACCTGTTTGAATTGGTTTTCTCTGGCAGACCTAGTTTGAACAGGTTTTACATAATCAGAATCAGTCAGAATTGGTTTGAATCAGTTTTATCCAGAACCAGTTTGAGCCAGATTCCTTCAGTCAGAATAGGTTTCAGATAGTCAAAGCTGGTGTTCTCCAATCAGAAATGGTTTCAATCTGTTTTGTCAAGACAGAGTTGGTCAGAAGCAGTTTGAACCAGCTTTAGCTAGTCAGAACTGGTCAGAACCAGTTTGAACAGGTTTGGTTGGTTTTTTCCCAGTGAGAACTATTTTGAACTAGTATGAACAGTTTGGAACCATTTGAACCAGTTTCTTCCCAATGAGAAATGTCTTCTCCTGTGAGGACTGGTTTGAACCAGTTGAGCATGTTTGTTCAAGTGAAAACTGGGTTTTTCCAGTTGCATCCATTTTTAACCTGCTTAATCTGTTTTTTTTTTTGCCCCCAGGCAGAACTTCATTTCTGGTCAGAACCAGTTAGAACCAGTTTCATCTTGCTTGAAATGGTCAGAACAGGTTTGCCCCTGTTTTTTTTCCAGTGAAAAGTTTTTTTCCAGTTTGAACCAGTTTTTCTCAGTCACAACTGGTTTGAACTAGTTTGACCTAATGTTTTCTAGTCAGAACCAGTTTAAACTAGTTGGTTGAGTCAGAACCAGTTGGAGCTGTTGGTTTTTTTTTTTCCAGGAAGATCTGGTTTGAACCAGTTCCAGTCATCTTTCAGTTTGATCCATTCAGAACCATTTTGATCTGGTCGGACTGTTTTGAACCAGTCAGAACCAGTTTTATCCTGTTAGAGTCAGGTTTTTTTGGTCAGAGCCAGATTGAAATGATTTGAGTGGATTTAAACCAGTTTAAGTAAGTCAGAACCTGTTCAAGCTGGTCAGAACTGGTTTTATTCAGTCAGAGCCAGTTTGAGCTGGTCTTATTCAGTCATAACTGGTTTGAGTTGGCTCAAACTGGTTTAAGCCAGTCAGACCAGTTTGAGCCAAGAAGAACCAGTTTGAGCCAGTGTTATCCAGTCAGAATCCAGTCAGAACTGGTTTGCCAGTCTTAAGGTTTGCTGGTCTTATCCAATCAAAACTGGTTTAATTTTTTTTATTTATTTATACAATAGCGGGGGTACAGGCCAGAGGCATGGGAGGGTGAGAGTATTCACCAGAGACAGAGTGGGGAGCAGAACAGGGAGACAGACTGAAAGCATTGCTGAAGGGAGCAGCGGGCACAATAGGAGAGGTCTGCCGCACCATGTGGGAATCTCCCTGGCCAACAGGAATCAAACCCCCACTGCAGAGGCTGCAGACAGCTTCACAGCACTGTGCTCAACCCGCTGCACCATGGGAGATGCCCCAAAACTGGTTTTAGTTTAAACCAGCTTGAGCCAGTTTTTTTTTTCAGTTTATATTGGTTTGAGCTTGCCAGAACCATTTTATACAGTCAGAACCAGTTTTATCTGGTCAGAGCCAGTTTGAACTACTTTGAGCTAGTTTAAATACATTTGAGCTGTTTAGAACAGTTTGATCCAGTCACAAGCTGTTTGAACCTATCAGAATGAGTTTTTTTCTTGTCAGAGCCAGTTTGAACTAGTTTGAGCCAGGCAAAACAGGTGTTATCTGGTCAGATGCAGTTTGAATTGATTGAGCTGGTTTAAATCAATTTAGCCTTTCCAATCTGACCCAGTTTGGGGAGGGGTGTGTGTGTGTGTTCAGAACCAGTTTGAATCAGTTTTATCCAATCAGCTCTGGTTTGAACATGTTTGGGCCACTCTGCACCAGCCAGAACAGATCAGACAAGACAGGAAAGATTTGGGCCTCCCCTGGTGGCACAGCGGTTGAGCACCGGGTTGCAAAGCTGTCCACAGCCTCTGCAGTGCCGGTTCGATCCCCACCGGTGAGGGTCCCACATGGCACGCAGACCCCTCCTGCTGCCCGCTGCTCCCCTCAGCAGTGTGCTTCATCATTCTGCCTGTTCTGCTCCCTGCTCTGGCTCTGGTGAATTCTCTCACCCTCCCGCACTTCTGACTGTACCCAGTGCTTGTATACATAAATAAATCTTAAAAAAAAAGAAACTTGAATCTTTAAAAAAAAAAAAAGACAGGAAAGATTTGCCTGACTTTATTCATTCCGAAGTCATTTGAAACCGGCTTGAACTGGCTTTATCTATTCAGAACAGTTATAAGCAGTTTCAGCTGGTTTTATCTGGCCACAACATGCCTTATCCGGTATGAACTGGTTTTATCCAGTTGGAACCAGCTTTATCTGGACAGAAGAACTTCACTTTTATCTGGTCAGAACTGGCTTTGTCCTGTCAGAACCTATATAATAAGCTGGTCAGAACCAGCTTTATCTGGTAAGAGGCAGTTTGAACAGGTTAGAACCAGTTTTACCAGTTTGATCCAGTCAGAACAGGCTTTATCCAGTTTCAGCCAATTTGATGCGGTCAGGACAAATTTCATTGGGTCAGAACCGATTTTGTCTGGTCAGAACTGTTTTAAATTACTTTGGACCAGTGTTCTCCAGTTTTCAATGGTAAAGCAAATAAAATTTGTAAGGACTAAAGAGTGTGAAATTGCTGTTTATCCTCTTGCATGGGGTACAGTCCCCTGACCCTCAGTGCCCCAGGGTTCCTCTCTTTATAGGAAGCAACAAAAAAGAATTTGCTGGTCACCCAGTTCCCAGGCTGCCTGCTGGTCTCTCCCAGTCCCCAAGTGGGCCACTGGCACCACCTAGTGCCCAGTCTTGTTCCTGCAGGCTAGGCTTTCACAGATGATTTTTTGGCCATCATGAATCTCCTCAAAGTTAAATTTTTTACCAGATGGAACCAAGTGCACATTAACTTCTCTAACATTCATTGTCTAACCTGCCAACAAAGTCTGCTGCTGCTTTCCCCCAAATCCTCCTGGCACATCAGTCTTGCCTTCCTATCCAGATTATGGAGGGCAGAATTCACTTGAGCAATTGCTTTGTGCCAGGCACTCTGACTTAAACCTGACAGCAATTACATCCTTGTTCTTTATCTGGAGACACTGAGTCTGGGGCATAGGAAGCAACTTGCTTAAGATTGCTGGGTAAAGGTAGATTTAATTCTAGGACTTTTTTCTACAGGTCCTAGATTTTCTCCAGAAAATTATTCAGCACAAGTTGAGAAACCAGAAGATTTTCAGGGGGGTCACTTCTTTCATTAGGTTATTTTAAAGTAGTGAAGCAAAGAGAACACTGAACAGGAGTCAGTGACCCATTCTCAGGTTCAAGGTCTGTCATAAAGAGTTTGCCAGGCAGGAGAAAAGGAAAAAACAACGCAAGACGGACTACAGAAAAATCCAGTTCAGTTTGGACCCCATTCATTCGTTCATTCCACACATTTACTCAACAAATATTGATTTGTAGATTTCCTGTCCCTAGGTCACTAGAAAAAGAAACCAAGACCCAAGTTAGGGTGGGGGGAGATTTATTCCAGGAATAGTTGTTTTCAGTTTCTAAGTTTGTGATAATTTGTTATTCAGCAATAGATACAGTTCCCCACCCAACACTTGAAACCCCGATCCCAAGCCCTATGCTCTATTTACAAGTTATGACAGCTCTCCGTGAATAACCCCATACCTGTGTGTATGGGTGACTTTATCTGTCTATATCTTAAGTGTAGCTCATTCATTTATATTCAACCACAGTCCTTTAGGGCTGAGCTTTCTCCAGTAGTTGCTGAAAGTGGGTCCTACCAGCTTGCAAGGGGCCAAGAAAGATCTCTTCCCAGCTTAGTAGAATGTTTAGTGGTGTCCTGTCAGTTGCTTGATATCAGGGTAGCAGCATTTACACCACGGATATTGGCAAATGCTATAAATTGGGGATCTTTGTTGGCTTGATATATTTATATATTTTTTCCCAGAGATCTGGCTGTTAAAACATTTCCCAGTACACTACTGGCTTCTCCCTCCTGAAAGGAAAAGGAAACACAAACATCAGTGGGGACAAATTTAGGAACGGCTCCTGTTAAGACACAGGCAAACTAACCTCAGCCTGACCTGGCTCTGAGTTTATTTTTAATGTCCACATGCTCTGTGAGAATAAGCAGAATAATCTGACTAATCCGAGGGTTTTGATGAAATCGTTTCCTGGGCCCCACAGAATCTACTCAGTAACAGTTCTCCACAGAGGATTCTTATGGGTCCTAAGTTTCAGTATCACTGTCTACATTCTTATTGTCATGTCAGATGATGCCTCAGACATCGAGGGCAAAGTTTAGGCCCTCAAAGAAAACGCAGTCCAGCCTCCATTTCTTGAATGTCCACCATGTGCTAGCTGAGGGTGGATGAAACAGGCCCAGTTCTGCTTCTGTCCCCTTTCCCATATCTGAGGTTGGTGGAGAGCTCACTGGTGTACCAACATTGGAATCAGACAGAATTTCACCTCCATCCCTTCCCAGAGAGATGTAGGCAAGTTTGCCCCCTAGAGTTCCAGCAGAATCTATCAACACATAAGAAACAGTTATTCTTTCATCCCACAACATGGCAGCTCTACCATCTTCCTCTACCATCCAAACCATTTGAATTCAAAAGAACTGGGTTAGAGTTCTAGATCTGATCTATACCAAGGCAAGTCCCTTAAGTTCTCTGGAGTTCAGTTGCCTTCTCTGCAAAACTAGCATCTACACTGGAGGTTTATAAGACTCAAATGAGATGATTCTGGGAAAACAAATTCATTTATACAGTGTTAGATACACATTAATCTCCTTAGCTATCTCACCTCACAGGTGGACCCTACTCAGCTCTAGCACCACAGGACTTCTTCCTCACCAGACTGTGAGCACCCTGGAGAAGACCCCAGGTCCACCCACCTGTATGTGTCCTTTGCACATAACAAATATTTCCTAAAGGACTGTGATTGAATATAAATGAATGAGCCACACTTAGATATAGACAGATAAAGTCACCCATACATTCAGGCAAGGGGTTATTCACGGAGAGATGGCATAAGTTGTAAATAGAGCACAGGGCTTGGGATCAGGGGTTTCAAGTGTTGAGTGGGGAATAGTATCTATTGCTGAATAACAAATTATCACAAACATAGAAACTGAAAACAACTATTCCTTATCTCACAGTTTCTATGGAGGAGAAATTCAAGCTCTGCCTACTCCTCTGCCTAGTCATTTACCTAGAGTTTCACAAGACTGAAGTCAAGGAGTTAGCCAGGGAAAGGGTCTAATCTGAGGCTTGACTGGGGAGGGATCTACTTCTACACTCACTCAGGCTGTTGGCACATTCAGTTTCTTGCATTTGTAGGAATAAGGGCTTCATATTCTCACCAGCAATCAGTGGAAGGCTGCCCTCAGCTCCTAGAGTTGCCTGCAGTTCTCGGCCACTGCAGCAGGAGTGGGCCTCCCAATATAAGCATCCCACAACATGGCAGCTTCAAATCAACAAGGGAATGAGAGAGAGATAGACCCCAGCAATACAGGTGTTACAACTTTATGTCATATAACCACATAATCAGTTCTAGAATAAAGTACATCCCATGCATTTGATCATCTCTGCTACATTCTATCTACAGAAACAAGTCACAGACCCTGCCCACGATTTAGGGGAAGGAATTACACAAAGCCATGAATACCAGCAGGTGAGACAATTTGCAACCTCCTCAAGAAGCTGTCCACCACGGCAACTGAGTGAAACTTGTAAAGAATTTTCCTTGTGAAGCTGGTAGACAGCCACAGAGATTGTAGAGCTCTGAGAAATCATCTAAACACTTCACTTTATATGTGAGAAAAAGAAACCCAAAGAGACTGAGGCACAGTAAGAATGTAACAGAATCAGATGAGAATCCAGGTCGTCTGACTCCATTTCCACCACACCGCACTGCCCCCCCCCACACACACACACACAATGCCAGAACTTTGCCAAGTCTTGGAGGAACAGAACATCAAAAGGATACATGTCTTAGCATGGTCTTCAAGACCCTCTGATCCCCTGGTCCAACCAGGCTTTTTCTCTCACCTCATGTCATCTCCCTGTGGTATCTAATGTTCCATCACAGAAAATTATTTTCAGCTTCCTGGTGGTACCTGCCTCCCTTTGTCTATTCTCCACCAAAATACCTCTTTCTGTGCCTAGAAAACAAATGAACAGAACAAATCCACAAATAAATACAGCTACTTATTCTTTGGACTCCAGCCCAAATGTCACCTTCTCTTTGAAATTCTCTTTTATCCTTGTAGGCAGAATTTATCACTCCCTCTCTCCATCCTGCTCCCAGCACCTTGTACAGTCTCTCCTTTTCATAAGCTTGAGAGCTGTTTTTGATGTTCTTATTCCTCCTATGACCCCAGGATCTTAAAGCACGCTTGTCAGAAAGATATGATAATAGTTTGGTTTAAACAACTCTATCCTAATGTGCTGGCCTTGTCAAGAGATTGGCATGGCCTCTCCTGCCAAGTTAATATATCACCAAGTCTGATGAGAATATAGACTTCAAAGTAGAAGTCTCCAGAAGTCACTGCAAGTCAAGGAAAGGCTAGTTCAATCCCCACCCAATTACATTCTCCTCTGTAGCTGCCCAAACACCTTGCTTCATTGAGGAAGACTCTCCTGATTGGTGGATCATAATTGGATTGTCATTCAATACTCATTATTTTTGTATACCAAACACTGGGCTTCTATTAAGAGTTTAGGTTACAGAGATGAGTAAGACCAGAAAAGGGCATGTGCACATGAACTTTGGAGTCAAATGAGCCTGATTCATCTGAGCCAGACTCAGTTCTTACAAGCTGTGTGATCTTGAGTAGATTATTTAACTTCCCTGACCTCTGTTAAACACAGGATAAGCGTCTCTGTAAGGTTACAGGAGAGGCCATGTGTATATATGTGTATATACACATATATATATGTGTGTGTATATATATATATATATATATACACACACATATATATATGCCTGGCACACTGGTAGACAAATGTTAGTGCTGTGCCACTTACCTACCCACAGAGAACCACTAGTCATGCTGGCAATGCTTACTATGCAGTATACTGAACACTGAAACAGATGCGAGGTACTGGAGGAGCAGAGTAAATGGAGGGACTCCTTCTATGGAACGAAAAGGGGGAGAGAAGAGGCTTCAAACAGAATGAGCAGGAGTTGACCAGGAGGACATTCTAGCAGGCAGAAAAGCAAGATTGTCCTAGCACTTAGTTTTCGTATTTGTCTGCTCCCAGATGAAGTGGCATCTAGGTCCTGGAGTTAACGTAGAGATAAAACAATCTCTTCCTTCCACGACAGATGACTGACATTTCTATTTCTTTGCTATACTGGAGAAAGTGTCTTGCCTCTCAACCAGAAATATGAAATAATCCAATTTCAGCAAAAGGTAATGCTGAGAATTGAAATGCATGAATTCCAAAGTCCTGATTCTAAGAAGAATGTGAAATGAGCCTCACTTCCCAAGCATGTGACACCTTTCTGAATCTATTTTATGGAGTTTGATGCTATTAAATTGAGACATGCGTATATATATCCTCTGAGTGACATAGGTGTTGCAGGAACCCTTAGAATCTCCTAACAATTTTGCATCCATAATTTCAGGATCTTAGTAACTCAGGCTTCTAGAATCCTAGAGTGCTAGTTTTAAAGGGCCATTCAGAAATTCTACTTCCACATCTTCCTGATAGAAAAACTGAGGCCAAGACATGGGCATGGAGCTATCCAAGAATATACAGCAAATTCTTTATTTCTGACCTGGAATGTGGGCCTCTGAGCTGCAAATCCAGGGCTCTTTCTCCTGCGCCATGGTTGCCTATTCCTAAGGGACTGTTGTAAGTTTAGGGTGGCTCTTTCCAAATTGTACACTTAAATAACAGATGTTCATTCTGAAAAAAAAAAAAATCATTTCTTTGCGATCCAGTGGACTGTTGTTAATAAGATCAATAGTAAAGGTTATATCAAACCTCAGGTTCTTCACTATTTCCTTAGTACTTAGGCCCTGAAGATGATAGAATCATGGACTATTAGGACAGAAAGATTTTTAGAGGTTCGTCTGGTTAAACTCCTCCTCCACTGAAGAAATAGCCATCTTGAACATACCCAGTAATGTACTCATGTCTCCCAAGGGGAGTTATCTCACCAGTTGGCCATGGGTCCACATTTCATTGGGTAGAACTCTGTCTACTCTGATCATCAAGAGAGAGGGGAGAAAAAAAAAGGGACTCTCTTACTGAGCCCACTTATGGAGCACCAACCGGGCATCAGGCACATGGGAGAGAATTGGAAATATTATCTAACCTGAGTCTTAAAACATCCCTATAAAGAAATGTGATCATCCCAATATAAGATTGAATAAAAGTTTGGAGAGTTTAAATAATGTACCCAAGTTCATCCGTAAGTGGCAGATTTGAGCCCAGCCGTAACTCTCCGTGATGCCTTGTCTTCCCTGCCTTCTGTCTCTTTACAGTAAAGCTCTCGCAGCACACTATACCAGAGCATTCCTTTTAAAATAAAAATCCCCTGCTTAAATGCCTTTGATGGCTCTTCAATACCTACTTGAGGTAAAGAGTCCAAATTCTTTAGCTTAATATCCAAGCTCTTGACAATCTGGCTCCCACCAGACTTCACAGGCTCACTTCCGTCTACTTCTCCAGAGATCCTAGATTTTCCATGAGGATTCCCTTCTGTCTTCATATGTCGTACTTGCTGTCTACGTGCTCTCCCCTCCTCCCTCTGCCTAAAGAAATCCTGGTTTTCCCATAAGCTCCATTCAAATGTCACTTCCGTACGAAGTCTTCCTGGCCTCTCAGCAACCTGAATTCTCTGTTTCCTTCCATTATGTCATTACGACATCATATCAGCCTCCTTTGCTTCACCATGGTTCTTTGTAGCCTAAGATTCTCGAGGATGGGGGTTGTATTTCAGATCATCAACTCACTGTGTGACCATGAGCAAGTTACTGCACCTCTCTGGACATCACAAATAAAATGAGGACTAGATGGATTTCAAGGTCCTGCCTACTCTCAACCTCTGCCATAGCTGAGTGGAAAAGCACTAGAATCTGTGTGTCTACCATGCTTTCAGAAATACTAGTCAGGTTGATTAAGTGTCCTGGCCCTACTTCCCCAAGTTACAGGCAAAGGTATTCAAGAGGAAGCAAATTATTATAGACTTAAGAACATTCACCAAGCATGTAACCTGTGCAGGATTCAAGAAAGATACAGGTTAAAACAGCTATCTGGCAGGGTGGGCTGTGATAAATTCTGTTGGAAAGACTCAGCTGGTGGGCAGCTCCAGTTGGGAGAGATCATAGCTGGCTTGGAGTCTTGAAACAAAACTTCTTGGAGGTGATGGCAATTGCATACGTTGGCAATTCACAGAATGAAGCTGACGAAGCTGAGTAGAGACACTCCACCCAGGCTTAGGAAACAACAAGACCTGACCGAGTCAACCCCAAACTATGCTTCTGCTAACACCCCTCCTCTGCTTACCCTCATTTATTCATTTATGTCAACAGGAAACCAAAAGGAATAACACAATGAACACTGTGCAGTGCCTACTCCTGACTTACAAATAATAAAAATTCCCTGTGTGCTTCCCTGATGGCATTCCCACCCTCAGCACCCTAGAGATAACCACTCCCCTGAAATTTGAGGTTTACTGTTTCCACACAAGTCTTTATAATTTTACAAGTCTATACATGTTCCTAAACAAAATTGGTATTATTTTACTTATTTTAAAACTTTATATAAGTAGCATCATACTTCTTATCCTTTTTTTGTTCAATGCTGCTTCCAAGGTATTTTCATGTTATCACATAGAACTTGAGATCAGGGTTGGCAAATTTTTCTGTAAATAGCTAGGTAGGAAATAGTTTAGGCTTTGCAGGTCATAAGATCCATTGTATCACAAAAGCCACCATAGATAACCTGACTGGGCTTCAGTAAACCTTTATTTTCATGTAAGTTTCATGTGTCACAAACTATTCTTCTTTTGATTTTGTTCAACCATTTAAAAACATAAAAACCGTTCTCTGCTCCTCAGCCATCCACCAACATGAGTTTGCCCAGATTTGACCTGAGAACCATTATTTGCCTCAGTCCTTGTAGGGTAAGAAAAAAATGTCAGGCTTTTCTGCCCTCCCGCCATCAGGATAGATGATGGATCCTTGTGGTCCAGAATGCATGCCTGATGGTGGACACCTGGAGTAGGGTGTGGGCATAGGTAGATGGGATTCACCTGGGCTGAGACTGGGCTTTTAAGGGCGGCGTCATGGGGACGCCAGCAGAAGCTGAGAGAAGAGGAGCAGAAAAGCCGAGAAAGAAGCAGAGAAGCAGAACAGAAGCTGAGGAAGAAAGAGAGAGAGAGAGAGAGAGAGAGAGAGAGAGAGAGAGAGAGAGAGAGAGAGAGAGAACACGCCTGAGAGCCCAGAAAGAGTGAAGACTTGCTGGGGGCTGGGAGGCCTGCCAGCCTCCCGGCCCCCCAGCGTCCCTGCCTGCCATGTGCCTGGTAATCCCAATAAAAGCCTGCAAAGCCACTGAGGGCTACAGGACTCCTCTTTACCCGGTCTGCTGGATCAGAAAATCTGCTCAGTGGCCCAGTCCTGCCCCTACAGTCCTGCTCTATATCATTCATTTTTATTGCTATAGAATAGTTTACTACATATTTATTCATAAAAATATTTATTCATAAAAAAATATTTATTCTATGCCAGCTTCAAGAAAGTCAGTAGGCACTGTTGTCGATTAGACACTGTCCTGACATTACAAATTTACTGTGTAAGTGGGAAAGTTAAGACATATTAACCATAGTGAGGTAGAAAATGATAAAAGTCCCCAAGACGTTTATGCGGCCTGCATTTTTTTAGAGGTAGCAGGAAGGGCAGCAGGAGAACTCATTTCACTTTCCATGGGGTGAGAAACCATTAGCTGGAGAAAGTAAGCCCTAGGGCTCGGTTGCCTGGGATCTTGTTCTGGCTCCACCACTTACTAGCTCTGTGACTTTGGACAGGTGTCTTTACCCACCACCCATTGAGGCTTAGTTTATGATCTGCATTTTCCAGATCATAATACTGTGTATGTCTTTTGTGGAAATGGTCACAAGGATTAAATAAGGTAGTATAGGTGAGGCACCTACCTACAAGACTCTAGTAGTCCAGGGAAGGCAGTGGAAATTGACAGGATGTGGAGTACAGTAAGGCATTTAAAGAAATGCTACCATGCTTATTAAGACAGGTGATTTGGAAGTATAGTTGTGCCATTGCCTGAAATGGAGAACACAGAAAGAGAAGGTTTAGGATGAAGAGTCAAGATTTTGGTTTTTAACCCATGGGACTCCTTATGTAATTGTCTAGTAGAACAAACAGGTGTGGGGAGAGGGCTGATGATGTAGACTCAATGTTTTGTGTTAATCCTTTTGACATCTCCATGCCATGGATATATATAATCATCCCGTTTTATATAAGTCAAGGCTAACTGCATGGCTTCATCAGTCACCTACTCTCCTGCCCTATTTGGCCATCTCAGTGTTTCATGCCAGCACTGTTCCTCAGACCCTCGCTCAAAGACTGACTCCTCGGCTGATTCTAGATAGCTTGGTTTACTTACCTTTCAGCTTTAGCAAATTAAAAGGTATTCCTTTCCTTTCTTCTGCCTCCCTCACTTGACTGCTTCTTAGAAAATGGGCACTGAGGAGAGGGAACAGTGAGTGTGCTAGAGTCAAGAAGAAGGGCAGCATCCACAGCAAACACAAGCAAAAGCCTCACAACACAGGGCCAGGTGGAAATAATGGTACACAGGACTCGCCTTTGTGCTCACCTGTCAGGTGGTGAGATGATACCAAACTGGAAAACACCAGAAGCATGGGCTCCTATTCTAGCTCTGTTGCCAGGAAGGGTCTCCACTCTCCTGCTTCTCTCTCTCTGCGTGGAATGCCTGCACGTTGTGTGTGGACTCAGCCCTCAAGGCTCAGCTTGAGTCTTAAAAGCTCTTTCTGAAATGCAAGTCTGATTAAGTCATTTTGCTACTTAAAACTTCAATAGCTTTGTATTGCTTACAACAAGACCCCTTTCCATCCCTAAAAATTATTGAGGACCGTGAAGTTTGTTTATGTGCACTTCTGTCAATATTAAGCAATTAAAAGTGAGGCATTTGTAAAATTTTGTTAACTCATTTAAAAGTTACAATAATAAACCCATTACATATTAACATAAACACATTTTAATGAAAAATGATTTCTAAAACAAAAACAAATTAATGAAAAGAGATGTTTCACATTTGTGCAAATCTCTAATGACTGGCTTAAAAGAAGACAGCTGGATTCCAAAAATCTGTTTCTGCATTGAATCTGTTGCAATATTAAATGTCTCAGAGTCTGCAGAAAACTTTGCTCTACACTTGTGAGCGAATGAGAGTAAAAAAAAGCAAATAATGTTTAACATTGTTATGAAAATAATTTTGAGCTTACTGACCCCTGAAAGGCTCTCAGGGACACCCAGGGGTCCCAATGTCATACTATGAAAGCCACTGACTTACAAAATAAATTATAAAGCAGACATATAAGATCATTCGATTTCGTTGTAGACAAACAAGAACCTCCTCGTTCTAGGTCCCGGTCCCTAACTGCAGCAGCCGGCCATATCCATATCTCCCATGTTCCTCCCACACTGGTTACAACCACCAGCCACACAGTTTCATATCTTTATACCTAAGACACATCCTTCCCTCGCCTGGAATTAGCTTCCCCCTTGCAGAGTCTTACTAAAACCACTTGAATGTCTATAATTCTGGGATGCCCGCGACCCACCCGAACAGAGCTGACCTGACCACTGTGCAGCAGAGTGCAGGCTCTGAAGTCAGGCTGGAGATGAATCTCCACTCATTCATTTACTGGCTGGCTGACCTTGGAAGTGAGCTCACCTCGGACAGGTTAACTTCACCTTCCCGAGTGTCTGTTTACTCTTTGCTAAAATAGGGTTAATCCAGGGTGGATGTGGTGGTTAACCAAAGGAACACAGCAAAGAGTGCCAATGGCACAGAGAGCATGACCTGCCACCCTCAGTGCCTGGCACCCACAAGAGCTCAATGCGTACTGAAAGAATGAATGAGCCCCTGTGGGAGCTTATGCTGACTGAGCATTTGTTTACTAAGTCCCGCACAGTTCTTCGGGCTTCTCCAGGCTAACTGTTAGAGGCGGGAGCGCTGGGAGAGAAATGCAAGGTAACTCGCTCAAGGTCATCCTTGGCATATTGGGCCGTTCGCAGGTCGGAGATCGGCACCCCGGGCCCCCCTGCATTCCCCACCCGCCTCCGCCCCGAGGCAGCGGGCCTGGGAGCGTGAGCCCCGACTGCCCTGGGCTTCTCCACGTGCCCACAGGCGCAGGCGCGGCCTCGGACCGGCTGACCCGCGGCGGCGGAACTCGAACCCAAGTCCCTCACCTCACGCTGGGCTTTTACCCCCCTGGGCAACGCGGGCTTGGGGCCGGGGGCGGGGCGGGGGCCCCCGCGCGGCCGGCAGGAGGTGCCCGCGGCTGGCCGGCCCCTGCCGCTGGGCGGCGCCCGCCCTCGCCCCCGCCCCCGCCCGCCCGCCCGCCCGCCTCACCCCCCAGCGCGCGAGCCACAGGCTGAGGCGCGCGCCACCTCGCGGCGGGAGGCGGAGCCGGGGCGCTCCCGCCCCGCCCCCCGCCCTGCAGCCGCCGCCGCCGCGGCCGCCGGTCGAGCCCCCCGCAGCCCGCCCGCCCGCCCGCTGCTCCCCGGAGCCGCCCCCGCCCGCCCCCTTCGCGCGTCCTCTCGCTCCTGCGCAGCGGAAACATGGCGGCGGCGAGGGAGTGAGCCGCCCCGCGCCGCCGCTGCGCCGCAGGTAAGCGCCTCGG